GGACCCATAAAACTTTACGGAATATTTTATGCTCAAAAAAACTTTCATCTTTGTTTTTTGTTTATCATTACGCTTTCGAGACTACCAGCAAATCACATACATGAACTCTATTCATCCTATTTTGTTTAAGGTGACAAGAGGACTGGTATTTGTATTTTCCCACATTCAGATGAGTAGACCTTACGCTTCCATTGAATTTCGCATAGCTTCACTTTCCCCAAATGTATTCTCATCCAGGCAGTGGTAGACTGCAGTTTCGACCTCACACTGTATCCCCTTTGGAACTCTAACCATGGCAGTGCAGCGTATAAGCTTGAAGCTCTAACCACTACGCCACACTGCCGCAAGGGTCCTTGCATCACAGGACAGGATAGATTTAAACGAAGACCAAACTTTTTCTTATACCACTTTCTGTGATAAGATTTTAGATGAGGCAAAGTTGTCTCGAAAACCTACTTATAAACGAAAAATAAGTAATTTAATCGATTGCTTTAGCAAATACATTTTCAACACAGAATGCGATATTTAAAAAAACGACAGTCCATTCGAGTCTGGATGAGAATACCTTTTTGTAAGCAGGACTATGTGGGCTATAATGGAATCGTACGGCTTACTCATATCATTGTAGGAAAATTCATGCATCTCTTATGTATGTATCGTCAGGTCACGCCCACATAGACATTACGACATAACCACAAAACCTATCAACACCCCGATCTAGCGAAAGAAGGCAGGGTAAGATGCTCTTTATACGTTGTTCCGATATTCCTCTTCGCCAGTAGCTCATCTACTCTTTTATTAATCATACGGAAACCAACGTCGAAAACGGAGTAGAGTGGTTTATCTATATTGTTATGAAGAGAAGTTGTATCTGCTCTATCGCAGAATTCCTATCATCCTATTTATGATTTGAGTAGAAGTTACAACTGAAATCCGTATGTGTGTATTATTCAAGCACATCTCTGTTCAGCTTAGTTACGTCTTCACTTGCTTTTTACATCCAGAAATGGTAAATTTTTATCCTCATCGTATTACGTATCAAATTTAGTTATCCCAATTCATCCTTTCATTACCTAAAGGGATCCTTCTAATCTCTTTTTGCTATGCTGCTAAAAAGCAATGTAGTCGGTTAGATACATGACTAATAACTTATGAACTATAAGTGTCACCTGATTAAGTGTATGTCCTTTAAGAGCACTTTAGAAAAGTTTCAAGTTGTCAGGACAACTGAACAATTGTTTACCACTATGAAGTCCCATCTGCATGTTAACGTTGGTTAGCCTCTATTTGCAAGTTATATCTGGCTCTCAAATTGTTGGTGGTATAAATGAATTGTAAGATGACAGACTCATTTGCTTCTTTATCTGCATTTCCTGCGTTATAATTTGACTATAAGTGCTATAAAAACCTAGACTAAATTGAGGCTGCCGTCTATTTAGAGGTCGACGACCTTTAGGGATACAAGTTAGATTGTGATTAAATGACAAAGCCAGCCTCTTTTTATCATTTTGAATGTGTAATCCCAAAGCGCCAGCAACACTATACGTCAAGTGAGGAATATGCTCAAAATAAACTTCAAGTTAAGATCAAAATCTAAGACTTTAACATGTAATTTTATTCGTATTTTTGGTTTATAAGTGGGGTTTCTAGTCTACCAATAAGTCAGTAATATGAGATGTATTCACCCAATTTCGTTTAAGGTGATAAAGAACTGGTAGTTGAATCTTCCTACAGTTATATTAGTAGAGCTGACGTTGACATTGAATTTCATATAGCCTTGTTTTCGCAAAATGTGTTCTTATCCAGGGTGGATCACTTGGAGTATTTAAACTGCAGTGCAGCCTGGATGAGAACACTTTTTGGCAATCCAAGGCTATGTTGAATTTAATGGAAACGTCGGCTCTACTCATATGATTGTGCGACACTTCAACTACCAGTCCTTCATCACTGTAGAGTAGAGTATATCTTATATAATTTGTTCATTTACCTCTTTCTTGAATTCTCGCTTCTTGTAATTTGTTTATTGGATACCTCAGTTAGTATGGATTGGAGCAAATATGCATGTCTGGTCGCATCGACCTTACAAGTTTACGAGACTTTGCTAACCATAATAAAGTTACGAAGAGGCTAAACCTTTTCGCTAAAAGTCAAAGTGTCTTCCAAGGTCTATTTTAGAGTTAAGGTATTTTAGAATTATTCGGCAAAGTTGCTTCTTCTCTGCTCTTTTTCTTGAGCAGCCCGACTCCGAGGCAGGGTGTGGAAGTCGAGGACTTTTTCGACTTTGTTAGGTGTCTGTAACTGAAAAATTTTCAGAACGTATTTTGGAAGAATGAATTCCATTCGAAATTTTGACGGACAAATTCAACTGACCACTGCAATTTTTCTCTATTCAAGTACTGTTCGCATCCACCTCGTTGCTCATTGTTCCAGATTGTTGAACCACTAATGGCATGGTGATGTTCCAACTTGTTGGGTCGACTGATTCCAAACTGGTACACCTCTTTTGATGAACTTCTTAGGGGGTATCAAGTTAGCATGGGCCCTTATTTTGTTCGTCAACTCGTGTCAGAGCCCCACAGTGACAATAAAATAGCTGTCACTTCTAATGAAGTTGTGTGAATGTGCTATTGGACCGGCAGCCAATCTGCCCACAGTTAATTGATCTTAAGTTACATGACATGTGTTCAATCTACTTCGTGTATGGCGATGAAGGACTGGCAGCTGAATTTTCCCACAATGATATGTTTGCATTGAATTCAACACAGTCCTACTTCACAAAAGATATTTCAATCCAGATTGAAGTAGACTACAGTTTCAACCTCGCCTAAACTGGTCCCTTCAACACTCCCAGTCGGACTTGAACCATGGCAGTGCTGCGTATAATCTCGACACTTTAACCATCACTCCGCATTGCCACGACTGCCTCTGGATCACAGGGCAGATGTGAACTTGAACGAAGGTCAGGCATTTTCCCATATCACATGCTGTGGTGGGTGTGTCTGAGCCAAAGTTGTATTTGCTGTATCAATCGACTACATTAATTAATTGTTAGGGGGACCTTCATTTCGAAGGAAAGTGCATGAAGAAGAGATTCGTTGGCCGATCTCATCAGATGAGGACGCATGAAACTCGTTGTACTGCAGCCGTTTGTTTTTCATACGATATTCCTGTTTACGCTGTCCACGAAACATCCTTTATCATTTCGTGTAAAAACGTGCTGAGCTTTCTTCCATCATTCGATGGGCATCATCAAAGCTGTGTGTCATTTTTGTAAAAATCTCACGTTAACGCTAAAGCAAGAACACTATCCGGCTCTATCTTACTTCTTATAAAGACTCAATCGAGCCAAAAATTAAAAAGTAAAAATCTAGATAGGTCGATATAGAGTGTTTTGGTTAATTTTCTTTCATACTGGTTCTTCTTCATGCACCTCCATTCGAAATGAAGGTTCCCTTGACAATGTTATCTCAGGAGATTCATCGAAACCAACTTTATCTTCGTATCAACATTAATTAATTTTCATTTGTAAATAGGTTTTCAAGATCTCATATATCTGATTTACTGTTAGTCTCGAAACCATACTTATTAACGAAAAATAACTGATGTAGTCGATTGCTATAAAAAAATACAACTTTGCTTCATCAAAAGTTGCCTGACCTTCCTTGAAATTCCCATCTTCCCTGTGACCTAAAGACATTGGTGGCATTGTGGCGAGTTGGTTGACCTGTCGAGATTATAAGCTGCACTGTCATGGTTAGGGTCCTTCTGTGGGTGCTGAAGAGACGAGTTTAAGCGAGGTCGAAACTGCAGTCCATTCATGCCTGGGTGATAATATTTTTTGGGCGGCAACATTATGTAAAATTATATGTAAACTTTAAGTCTACTCATAGCATTATGATAAAATTTAATTACCAATCTTTCATCATATTTAGCGAAATAAGGTGAACATATTTCATATTACTTATTTACTGGTAGTCTCGAAACCCTACTTACCTGCGAAAAATTGATCCTAAGCCCTGATTGCTGACATTGATGTAATGAAGGTGCAGTCTCTATTTGGGGTATAGAAATGGTCTAACCTCGTTTTCGCAATTCGGTCGTGTTGCCAGGATGACCTAGTCGGACGCATCTTGTAGTAGTTATGACGCTGGAAATTATTATAACTAATACAGCAGACGACATCGGACAAGGTGCGTCCAATTAGGTCTGCCTGAAAACACGACTAAGTTGCGAAATCGAGTTCATACCACTTTTGTGATTATATTTTCTTAATATTCCTCATTTGTATGTTTTCTGGACTAACAATAGATCTGGAATAAGAACTGGGTCGCTTAAGGTGATACGGGAGGGATGGTTGACCTTTTTCTAAATTTCCACAGTAGAACTTACAATGTCAATCTGTCTCCCAATTAACCCCACCTATCAGAAAGTATCCGCATTTCATTTCGGCTTGGCCGGGACTCGAACCCGTGCAGTACAGCATCTCACCTCAACAGGCTTAGATATACTCACAACCTGCACAGACTAACTCAGCGGTTTCGAGTCTCCGAAAGCAGCGGAAATGATGCAAGACCAAATAATTGACTTAATTAAGGCTGTTGCACCTATTTTTTTCACATTCATTAGGCAGCAAGACACAGGACTAGAATTTTGTGTCCCGAAATCACATCCTAAAATTGTCTTAGGCCGTGTACGTATGCGGAAAAATAGAAAACACTTAGTAGCATGAATAGCAAGAATATTAGAAGTATCCAAATGCTCATACTCATCTGTGCTGACTCGTTTGTCATAAGCTGCTTTCTGCATGAAAAGGGGAAAATTGAGTGCCTATTTTCCTTTATTTACTCTTCCATTTGCCTTATTTATTCCTCTATAATCTTCTTCTGCCGGCAATCGATCTTAACTACAGATCAATATTTGTAACCTAGGCGTAGATACGAGTTGATACAGAGTTGAATTAACGTCTAGCTTGCTGCCTTGAGTCCTGTACTAACCCGGCGATGCAATGGTGCTTACTTGTTGGACTGCAAAAGCATAGCTTAGAAAACTGGTCTTTATGTGATTGCCTCTGCCCACACTCACTTCTTCAATCACCTTTCGCCCCACCTCCCGGATGTGCAGCAATACCGATTCTTGATGGCATTACCCTCCAAATAAACATGTTTGTCTCACGTTTGCATGCAAGCATCATGTCACCTGGATTCAGATGCCTCTTCTTTTCATCGTTCGACGCCCCCTATCCCAGTCTGTTTCCCTCCTTTGCTTTCGTCGATTTGCCTACATCCGAAGGTACAGCTAGACAGCTTATATCAAGTAGTCATAGTGATGTCGAAAATGGGTTTTTTTTGCAAGGTGACTGACAGACATGCACC